GTTAACTTTATAATACCTTTAGTATTTCTGGGTCGGAAAGGCTAACTTCAGGCAACTGGGCATGGCTCAGCTTACCCAGTTATCCTTGAAAGTCATGTCCTTAGAAAGGGAGGAGGAAGGGGTACCAGAACTATATAAGTGGGTTTATAGTTTACAGTTAATAATAAAAACATTAACTGAAATATTATTTGAAGTATTACTGCGTATACTATATTGAATAATTATTGATATCTTGCAGTGATAAAGTGTCAATATTATTACTAGAAATGTACAGTAAGGTTGTATATTTCGTAATTTAATATCGGAGTGAATATACTAGGGAGAAGGTTGGATGATCTATGATAGAAATCAAGGGTGGTTTAATATCTTATTTCTATTTTTATGGTTTTTTTTTATGGATAGCTATCATACCCTCAACCGGCTATAGACGGTGAGTGATAATGGGATCTGGGAAGTTGTGGGTTCTATCACCCAGATCCTAATCCCTTTTTTTTCAGTTACGTGCTGACTAGCTCTGCATCTGTTGTTTTGATTATGTCTGATAGATGGAATATCCCCAATGCTTTTGGGTGCTATAACCGTAGACATTTTTACTTTAAAATGATACCTTTTGTACTTCTGTACAAATGGTATAATTTTACATTGTTATATTAGAACTTTGTTGGTATGTTCACTTACTTGTTGGTGCATACACCTACATGTACAATTAATAAATTGTAGGTTACATTATTAATATATATATGTATTTCAGTTATAAAAATAATTTAAATCATAACATCTTTATTTTTTTATACTTGGGTAGAAGTAATTGTAGCTTAATATTTATGGAAAATATTAAAATTTAATGCTGTGTTGTTTCTCCTTGTATGAGAAAAAGTTGCTTATTCTGCTTAGACATTATTTCTTGTATTATCTAGTGTTTAACAGGAAAGTATTAATGGCAGTACCTTTTGTTTTATATTTCTTATAGGTTGCCTGTATACATTATGACCTAGGATGTCTTGAGCAGTTGCTACCTCACATGGAAGAATTAAGAAGACAATGTGGTCTTGAATTGATTGCATCAACATGTCTAAGTTGTTCCTTTTGTTCTGAAAAAGTTAGCTCAGATATTCCTAAGCTAAGTGCTGAGAAAGCAACAGAAGCTCTTTGGAACTGTATTTGCTTTCATGTGGAAAGTTACGTTAGTATTCACTTGCAGTCTGTTCTGATGGAAGACAGTGGTTACAGTGATTTATTAAATAAAGCTGTTTTTAGATACTATTTAAAGATAATTTGTTCTGTTCTAGATGCTACTTCAGTTTGGGATTTTCACAGGAGAATACGCAGGAAGCAACTAAAATTTTTTAGATGTCCTTGCATAGAAGCTTCTGAGGTGCTCTCTTGTTGCTTATTTTGCTTACTGTCCTTCTGTCTGCACTGTATTGTAGAAGACCTAGAGATGGTATGCATAGGTTGCTTTCAACCTCTTGTGGTAACCTGGACTGAAGTCCAGAAAAATTACACTGAATGCATCACAGATCATGTCTCAAGTGTTCTGAGAGTGCTAGATGGGTTGAGGCAAGAACAGAAAACCTGGCCTGATGTACTGAAATTAATTTTTTGTTTAAAAGAGAAAAAACAGTGTTTCATGAACCATAGCCAAGAACAACAGTATGATTTTGCCATTTCAGAAGAAGAAGATTCGAGAGCATTGATATATGAGGAAAAAGATACATTTGTTGACGTAGAAGAAGAACAGGACAGACTGTCTGTTGAGGTTCACCCTGGGTCTGGTAAATCTCGATCAGACAAATGGAGTGGTAAAAGCTTTAAAAGCAGAAAAAGTAAAGAATCACTGGTATCAAAAGATTCTTTAATTGTCATTATGAACAACACTTATCTTGATACAAGAAAAAAAACTTCTTTAACAGCAGAGAGAAATAGTAGTGGGAAAAGCTGGACAACAAAATTTAATGAGAAGCAAGAGAAAGGACATATGGCAATTTTTCAGCTCACAGACATTATCTTGAATATGGTCGAAGCATTTCTAAAGTTTGAGGAACAAATTAATTTACTTTGCACAGGAGGTCCTGTGTGTGATGATTCTGACTTTGCTGCTCAAAGTATTTGCTTCCAACTCTTAGGAGGTAAGACATTCTGAGTTAAAATAAATATGTTCTTAAACAAATAATAATCAAAACAATGGTCTTTGGGGTAAATATATATTAATTAATGATTGTGAAACTGTAAACAGATTTCATTTGTATAGTGGATAATGTGGTTCTGTGTGTGTTAAATTCAGGACATAAAAGTTTTAAAGCTACCTTTACATATATTAGAGATATTAATGAAATTAATGTTTTCAAAAGTTTCATAACTTTTCTGTAACTAGAAAAGGGGAGGGAACTAATAGCTTTTTTTATGTGGGTTAAAGGAGATTTTTCACAAATATTTTAAATTTGATGTTTTTGAAATGTATCATTATTTCTTAGAAACTAATTTTTTAATTATATTTAATTACGTATTATTATTATTTACAGATATTAATAGTAATTTAAAAGGGGAAAATGATTGATTTAATATACAATGTTACTGTACTATTGTTGGTTTTTAAAATTTTTTAATAAACCACAGTTTTATGACAGTAAAGTACTTTTGAATTTAAAGAAATTGTAAATAAACCATGGAATAGTATTGAAGATATCAGTCCAGAATTTCATGTTCCTCAACAGTTAGAGTTGCTTGCATTTTCTAGGTGTAAGCAGTTCATTTCCAGATGAAAGCCCTCAACAGTCACCCTTTCACCAAACCAAGACTGCTTCCTATGGCAGTGAAAACTGTGCCACTTTGTCGTGGGATTGGAGGTAGGTTTGCATGAAATACTTAAAAGTTGGTCTCTGTGGTTGATGAATACTATGTTATGATGTAGCAGTATGCTGATATTATTAGCATTTCCTTCTTAGTCAGATATTATGAAGTTCACACAAAATTTGTGTAAGAATAGTCTTGCAGATTTGTCTCAGTTGTAGCTCATAAGAAAGTATCTGGTAAGGTGTTTAAAAGCATTATTTAACCTATCAAAATTCACTGATCAGAAAGTCTTTGTGAAATACAACATTTAACAACTGGAGAAACCAAAGGTCTATCTTCTTAGCTGTTTTAAGGTGGTGTTAGTTGTCAAATGTGCAGATAAACAAAACTTAAAATACAAGGAAGAATGTTAAATAATTGTATATGATGAAAATTATATTTGTCTGCAGTTGTTTTTCACAATATTGATTATAGCTTGTAGTGGCAATAACTAGTGGTAGCAGAGAAAAAGACAGATGTAGTTTTATATGCTTGGGATTTTAAATCCATAAAGACTGATAAGAAGGATTTTGATATAAAAACATCTCCACAGCAAACAGCCATTATTATTTTGCACATTCCTGTCTGCACATTTGGGAGTTTGGTAGTCAGTGCTCAGTTTATTTCAATCAACCCAATTTTGTTTTTTCCTTGGTTTGCAAAAAAAGATGTTTTTTCACTGTGCAATGGATTTCCTCCCTAGTGGTAGACAACCTGGTTGCAGACACTTTCTCAACATCTCAAATTGCGTCTTCTAATTTATCCACAACTGTCAACCATGTGGTTCTTAGTCTTTCTCTGTATGTTGGCAACAGCCCAGTTTGTTTTCATTGGGCCCAATGGGTTTTTCTCAGTAGTTACATTCTTGGGACTTTGTTTCACTTATTAAATAGACATTTGCCCTTACTTGTCCATTTCAGTGTGGTTTTTTCTATATTAAGACCTCCTTTCTCTGTCATCTTGCTTGTGGTGGCTGGTTCAATTCTCTGATTCAATCTTAACACCCACCCTGTATCTCATTCACTTGGGATGGGAGGATCTTTATCATTTCATATTTGGGGTAAGCTCAGCCCTCTTCTTTGTCTTTATTACATGGAACTTTTGGCACTGATACTTGTTTCTTCATCATTTCCTGCATGAGGGTATTTGTATCTTTTGCAGACTCTCTCTTCCCATGAGGCACATATTTCTCTTGTATGTTCCAATATATATCCTGTTGTGGTTTCTGGCCCGTCAACAGGAATATCCAAAGATCCACTGTCTTCTTTTGGTCATGGTGGCTCATTCAATCTCACATGACTCTGGACATCACTCTTTCTTCACCTTACCCAGATCTACATTTGTTAGAAGCCCTTCAAGGTTCTAAAGTAAGTTGGTGTGCTCATTCTGCTTACATGTGGGTTTCCATATCTGTGGGGGCACTGCAGAGGTAGCAATCTCATATAAAGTTTAGGGTAAAATAAATAAGTAAAATATAAAGTTTTTCTGAGGAAAAAACATTTGATATTTATTCAGGAGGTTTTAGGGGTTGTGCAAACAATTTTTGAAATTTTTCAGATAAATAAAAGTATTTTTAATCTTATTAAAATTACTTTGCACTGATAAAGGAAAACAACATGTAGTTTAAATTGTAAATAAAGTTTTTTCATTGAATATTAATATGCTCTTTTTCGCTTGCAAAAGGTAAACATTATGAATAAAGCTTTTCATTGACACTGAAGTGCTTTTTTTCCTTTTTTTTTTAATTTATTAAATTCTACCAATGGGATACTTGAAAATTAGTTTGGAACACTTAAAAATCTCTCTGGGACTCCTGAAAAAAAAAATTGAAAGTCCAGGATCATTCACTGTAGGACCTTAGTGAGAATCCTGTTCCTTTTTCATTGAGAGATATTTTCCCTTCATCTCCATATACGGTATTTGTTTGGTCTGTAGCCCATCGACCCAGACTCTGAACATATGGCATTCCTGTTGCCCTTCCACTGTGTTTGTCTATCAACAAAAGTGGCAGGTCATTCATCATTGTTCTATCCACTACTCTTTTACTTCTGGCCATCTGTTGTTTACCTGGCTGTTTGTCCATAGTTTATTGGTCTTTACTTTGGCTAGTTATCAGGTCACTTTGTCCATGGCATTTCTTTTTTCTTGGTAGCACAGGATGTTTCTTCCCCTGTCCTTTCTCTTCTGTTCAGCTCCTTCAATCTTCTTCAACTTCCTCATTTGACTCCTATGCCTGACTGAGACATTAGTTGGGTTTTGCATGCTTTCATGCATTCCTTATTCATGGCATTGTTTTCTTGCATTTTGTACCATCTTTCTCTCTGGACTTATCTTCTCCTTCCTCTTTCCTGCAATTACTGTCATTCATATGTCTATGCTATGGTTGTTATTTGCACCTTCTTCCACCACAGTTATTTACTCTTCACCCAAGACCAACTTTTCCTTCATAATACTTTGTTTGCTCAGGAGGGTAACCATACTTTCTTTCCTGTCTCCCTTCCTTTTGTCTCTCACCTATCTGATTGTTTGGACCCAGATTGGCACCTGTGTCCTCTTTGAACTATTTTGTGTTTTTATCACAGACTTCTTCCTTTTGGGATACCCGCCATTGTCTGTCTCTACCCTGGACCTTTCTTTTTTCAGGAACCTCTCTCTTTCTACCCTTATTGGATGTGTCTATTGACTTTTCTGGTTGGTATTGTTATCCCTGCATGTGGATGCTCCTGTAGGCCATTTAACATTCTTCACATTCTGTTTGTCTTTTTTCTCGTTCTCTTGCACCTCATCTTTACCAGTCCTAGGACAAGATCCTCCTGGTGGACTTGTGGATGACTGTCCACAGGTTTGTCTCTCCTTATCTACGCTATCTAGCTGTTTCATCTCCTGCTTGATTTTGGCTTTCAACAATCTCTGTTTTTCAGTCAACCCACCTTCTTTGCAATGAATACTACAACTTATTTTTCAGAGCCCCATTTTACTTTTATATATGATCCCGCCAGGTGTCTGATGTTGCTTCCAGTCATATACTTCCCCAAAATCTACATCAAGCCTAGATAATAGAAAGCAATCATACCTTCTCACCTGGCTGTACCCATGCCCACTGTGAGATGGGGTGTTCCACAAGACCACTTGAGGTATTCTTGTGGTATACATACTTAAACAATTGTCTGATCCAGATGTACTTATTCCATGGACTATCATGAAAAAAGCCAGCACCAGGGAGGTGTTCTGTCCACTTTTTTGGCTCACACTTACTGGCCTTTAAAAATAGTAAAAGACCTTTCCAGTTGGAAGTCTGATGAAAATTTGCACTTTTTTGGGCCTCCCATGGGAGTCTTTTACCAGTTACCAATTCCTAGCCACTGGGATGGTGGACCATGGAGAATCCTCATTAGTTGAGCTTAATACATTATGGTCAGTAATGGGGCAGTAGTGACACTGTCAGTGTAGTGTGGGTCACCCCTCTGAACACGTATCTATTATGACCTCCTGCAAATAGTCTGTTCAGTAGAGTTGAGATGAGCGCACACTATACAAAAACATAATATATAACTAATGCGCCCTCTTTCTGCAGCTAGAGTCTGTTCAGAAGAATTGAGTTAAGTACACAAGGTAAAGTCTGAATGCTCCCTAACCACACTACACATATTGTCTTTCCGACTGTTTGTGTGCAAGCATTTGAATGGTCATGTTCTCATTCTGCTTGTCTCTGTGACATGTGGCTTATTTGCCTTCATCCCTTACTTTCTGGGCAAAGAGCATACACTGGTCAAGATAAGATATGGCCTCCCACAGGTGTGGCATATGAAACTGTTGGGTATCACACTGCATTGGCTTCCCTTTGGGTGATTTCTAAAGGGAGCTCATCTAGGTAAAATTTTCCACTGGCTTTTCCACCACTTCAACTTGGAATTCTAGCTATTTAGTGTGTAGAGGTGAGTTTACATTTTCCTTATCTGAAAATTATTTCTGATAGATACCTATCAGCCCCTTTGTTTTCTATACTTCCTTTTTTGTGTTTTCCTATTCCTTGCTCTTCTCTTTGACTTAACGTTGGTCCCTCTTCTATTCCTTGACATCGTGTGGGCCCTTGCCTGCCATATTCATGGCTTAGGACTGGAGTTTCTTTTCTCCAACTTTTTCCTTCTGTTAGTCCATTCTTAGATTTTTTTTCTCTTCTCTTCTCTTCTCCTACTCCCTTCTTTTTGTATGACTACTTGATTAGGGGTGGGGGTGGGGGGTACATCCTGGGATATACATTCTTTCTCACACCCATTCTTCTCTTGTCTCAACTGAGTTCAGCCTATCTGTTTGTCTGTGAGCTATTACATGTCTGGCCATAAAGTTTTACAATTCTCATTCTCTTCCACATGGAAGGTCAATTTGCTTTTGGGGACTCTGGCTTCTGTAGGGCCTCTCATTCCTTTGAGAACAGCACTAATGTGCCTCCAACTATGAACCTTATGAACCCATGGTTTTCATTCTTGGGGTCCATTTTTCTCTATATAAGCATCTCCTCAAAGTATGGTCTTGGTGATTGGACTGTACCCAGGGTACTTCCTATGCTTGCTTACTGCCTTGCACACAGGATCTTTCCCTTCTTCAATGCTTCCCTTGAAAATGGTAGCAAGGAAAAAGACCAATATGGAAAAATAGAAATGACTGTCAGCAGAAAGTGAAGCCAACAGCAGAAGAAGGTAGGTACCCAAAGAATCGTACATGTGAAATAGCACTAATAAGAAGAGTAATAAACAAGACCACTAGGAGGGGGAAGATGAGAAAAAGTGGAAGGCCTGGAATCTAGAATGGGAAGATGAGTAGGAAGAAGAACTAGAAATGTTGAGATGCATTTCTGTTGAAGGCAGGACTTCTGATGTTTCTGTGCTGATCATGTGCTCCCTCCACATCAACAGGTTCAATCTTCTCTCTATTCTTTGGGTGTGTTCCCATTCCTGCCCTTATTTGTGGGTCACTTGGTGATGTTCCGCTCTGTCTCTTCCATGGTAATTTCTTCCACCTACAATCCATGAGGCTCCTGTTCCAGATCTCTTTGCATTCGACATCCATCTCTGGGCCCATTCAGGTTGATCGTGCCTATAATTTGCTGAGAGCTTATATCTTGATCAGGTACCACCTTTTTCAGTCAGTACTGGTGGTCCATGGACTGTCTATTTATCCTGGCTTGTTTTCTCCTCCTATTAATGGAGTGGCCTCTACACCTCAGGTATTTTGTGGGTTTGCTCTTGGTTTGTTATGCTCTTCTTGGATACTTTTGCCACCCTTTATTCCTCACCCTTCATCTCTGTCTGTGAATTTTTTTAGCTTGTCCTGGTTCCACTTTTTTCTATATATCCATTTCCCTATTCGTCTACTCTCTCTGGCCCTCATCTTTTCACACTTCTTTCCTTTCTGAGTACTATTATTGGTGCTTCTTTGCACAGCTCAGCCTTGGTTCACTAGCATTAAGGCCCCTATTCCTTTCCTCAATTCCCCTCTCTCTCTGTGCACTTGAAATTTTCCTAATTTAGCACCCACCAGACTGGACTATCCACTTTTATGTCAATTCTTGTTGTCATTCTACCACCATTTTCTGTCAGTGACTGTGGTTGGTCTTTTGTCATCAATCTATCTTCCACTCGTTTCCTCCTGGCAATCACCTTGTGACCACCTTTCTGCCTTTTTTTTTTTTCCTTAACTGTATCTCAATGGCTTCTCTGTCTGTACCTCTACTGACTGTCAAGAGGCCTTGTACATGGCGTTTCTCCTTTCCTGGTACCACAGAGTGTTTCCTCCCCTGTACTCTGTTCCACTCCTTCTTTCTTCTTCATCTTCTTCACTTTGCTTCCCAGCTGAGACCTTCATGGGGTTTACATGCTCCATTTGAGCATTGGTTTCTTGCTTTTTGGACCTTCTCTTTATCGTGGCTTGTTTTGTCATACTTTTCATCTACTATTACAGCTGCATGGTTGTTTATCCTATGGTTGCTTCTCGCACCCTTTTCTACCACATTTCTATATCCCTCTCCCTGGTTCAGTCATTCCTTTCTTAGTCTTAACTACTTGTTATGTTGCCCATACTTCTTTCCTATCTCTCTTTCTTCTGTCTCTATCCTGTTGGACCATTCAGACACAGGTTGGCTCCCATGACCTTTTGGGCTGTTTACTGTCTTTTTGCACACCCTTTTTTTTTGACAGACCTCTTTCTTTCTCCCTTTACTGTCTGTGTCCATTACCTCCTTTGATTAACATGTTTATCTTGAGTTGTGGATCTTTGCAAACTTCCACATTTCTGTGTATTTGATTTGTCACCTTTATCTTTCTCTTACATTTGTTCTTTGTCAGCTCTAGGACAAGCTCCTCTAGGCAGGCATGTGGTTGCTCGCCACAAATTCATCTCCCCTACACCCTCTGGTTGTTTTATCTCCTGATGTTTTTTGGCTTTTGCATGTAAACAATCTTCTCTCATTCCACCATCTTTAAGAAGAATACATACTATTTCTCTTTCAGAGCCCTTTTTGTGTTCATGGATCCTGCCAGGTGGCAGATGGTGCCTTCTAAGGTATACTTATTTCCCAAAATTGGCATTGAGCCAGGATAATGAAAAGAACTCGTACAGTCTGCCGTGGCCTTTTATATGCCCACTGTTAGATTGTGTATTGCACAAGACCACTTGAAGTATCCTGATGGTATATCTATATATTTACCTTTTTGTTCAGTCAAGACTGTACCTATACCATGGACTATCATGGAAAAAGCCAGCACCATGGGTGAGTTCTGCCTTATTCCCTGGCTTGCTTTTCAAAATATAATTTCATGGTCACCCATTGCATTGTCTCCAGTAAAAGATCTTTTCAGACTAAAGGACCAATTGGGATATGGGAATTGTTCCCAGGTCTTCCCTCTGTGTAATCCCCTCCTTTCTCATCAAGTGGAGCATAAGAGACTCTTGCCACCTACCAGTTTCTAGCCACTAGAGTGGTGGTACGTGGAGAACCCTCACCGATTGGACTCGTATGCTGGGGATATATACAAATGAGTACCAATAGTTAGGAAGTGTGGTGGTGATGATACTGTCAGTGTAGCACTAGTCACTCCTCCTGCAGCTAGAGTCTGTTCAGAAGAGTTGAAACAAACACACTATATAATACTATGCCCTCTCCTGTAGTCTGTGACTGTTCAGTAGAGCTGAGGTGAGCATGCACCACTCTGCCATGCACTCCTCCCATGGTTGTGTCTGGTCAGTAGAGTTGAGGTAAGCACACACAATACACATATGCCCTCCTACTGTGGGTCTCATCTGGTCTGTTGAGTTGAGGTAAGCATGCACTAACATACCATGCCCTACTCCTCTGACTGATGGCTATTCAGTTGAGTCGAGGTGTACACACATTATACCTATCTTTATGGCATGTGCTCCTCCAGTGAAGTCTGATGGTAGAATTGAGGTGAGCACAAAAAGTGCAGTTTGAACATGCCCAAGCCACACCATATGTGTGCAAATACTCGAACACCCGTGTTCTTATTCTGTCCATCTCTATGACATATGGGGCTCGATTGGCTCTTCTTCCTTTCTTTTCGTGGATGAGATGAGATGTTGTCTCCCCTGTGCCCCTGTGGAGTCCCTGCTATCAGATGTCACACTCCATGGGCCTCCTTTATGCACTTTTTGAAGAGAGCTCATCTTAGTAAAACTTTCACTGGCTCCTCCGCCACTTCAGTGTGAGATTCTAATTGAACAGTGTGCAGAGTGTGGTATTATCTTGAAAGTTAACATTTTCCTTACCTGAAAAATTACCTCTGCACCCATCCTCCTCGCTTCTGGTGCACCTTTGTATTTTCTTCCTCATCAAAGAATGATGTTCTCGAGGGCAAGTGCATAATGATGTCATTATGCAGTAATGCAATTTACAAGAAATCTCATGAGACTGGATGGGAGTTCACTAAAGACTAGTGGCATGCACATCCCTAAGGAAGATGTGCGGGAAAGATAGCTGAACTGTGTGTCAAGGTGAGTATCTATCAGAAATACATTTTCAGGTAAGGAAAATGTTAACATTGAATTGATCATTTCTACAAAATAGGAGAAGAGTGTTGTTTTCTTTCCACTCCTACAGACGCACTTCCCCTTTTGTTTTCTGTTTTTGTTGTTAGTTGGAATGCCAATTAATAAAAATATTTTAAGCTAGAATCATCCTGAGTGTGTGTGTGTAAACAAACATCAGAATACCAAAGGATAAAACTGAAATTTAATTGCAAATAAGATTCCTGTGAACAAGTTCATGTGTATGATGTAAAATAGTAGCCAATAGTAACTTGTGATAGGGTGTGTGAGACAGTCAAAATATAGCACAAAGCTAAATGAAAATATAGGGATGAAAATTATTTCATCTTATTTATAAGAAATATAACATCTTAGATACAACTAAATACAATAATATGAGTAAAATTTATAATTCCAGACTACTGTGTTGATATTAGTTTTAATACTTTAAAATTAAGGATATGTTATTTCATAATTTTTGTTTTGTTTATATGAGAATTGTTTTCTTTCAGGTCATGCCTAGTGGAAAATAGATATCTTAACGTATTACAGCGTACACTGCAACATTCTGTCCAAGAAATAGTTCAGGAAGAAATTCATTTGGAATGGGAAAGGTTTAGCAGGGGTGAAGAACTCCCAAAGAGACAGGTATACATGAATGCATCAGAAAGAATTAAAGACAGAAAAGCAGTGCTTCGTAGTGTATCAAACTTAGTAAAAGAACTAAGTAAATACATACAAGCAGTAGCAGCAGCCCAAGGAGCATTCATTCCTTTCCGTGCTTCCTTTGCTCATACAATTCACAGCTACACATCTGATATCCTACACCACGTGGAACAAATAAGCGTACGAGTTCCTCACAAAACATCTGTGACTACCTTATATATGCTTCTGAATACAGCATTATATTTGGAATTCAATCTTAAAAATTGGAGCAATGTCTTAAGTGAAGGAAATAATAACAGGTTGGTTGTTAAAGCAAGATTTGGATGGTAGTTGGTGTGCAGTAATAAGGATTGTTTAGATTAGAAATGCAATAGATTATACAGTAAGATATTTTCATGTAGCTGATAAAAATTTCTATTTAATAACGGATCATCAAAGTTATTATCTGTAATATTTCATCACACAGAGTAGTTATGATCAAAATTATAAAATAAAAGATATTGTTTCATAGAATGTATTTGTAATTACATGTATGTCACCAGATAAGACGTTTTTGTAGTTAGATTATAATTGTTTAACAGATGGGTGTTTTTAATGAAATGTTAGCAGATTAATTTGTTTATTTAACTAAATTGGTTCAAATCAACAGACAGACGATTTGTGTATCTATGAACAACCAGAAATAATGGTCAGTTTTTGGAAATTAGGTAATCAAAAATGAAACTGTTTGTCCAGTATAAAAAGGATAACCAATAATTCAAACAATTATTATTAATAAAGAAAAATGTGATAATTCTATCTTTTTTGCATTTAAAACAATTTTTGATTGCCAATTATATTTTGCAGGATGAAGGTTACTAACTTTATTAGATCTGTCTAAGACAGATATTATTGTAGAAGGTATTGCTTCATGTAAGACCTTAATGCTTGGTAAGAAGCTCAAGTAAAGTAGGTAGTAGAAGTCCGGGTGATGTTCTACTGGTTCGAGCCAAAACCTCAAAGATCTACATAATTCCCTGTGCTTAAAGAATTTCCAGACTCAAAGGAAAATTTATGTTTTTCACATTTACATTCATATCAACTTTAGACAAAACCTTGATATAAAATCAATGTTACCATGCAAGAAAACAGATGGGAAACAAATTCTGGTTATTATGAAAAAGTTTTATACTGACTATACAAGAGTATTCTGATTTGTTGCTTTAAACTTGGGTCACTTATAGAGTTTTCAAAATTATATTTTGACTTGTTGCTTTTTACACTTTTGTGACTTTTATGTTCTCATGATTGGTATAAATTTGGCTAAATTTTAAACTCAGAATTGATATGTGTATAACTGATCTGTTGCTATAAACTCAGCTAATGTTTAGATGCACAACTGTTATATTCTATCCTGTTGCTATAAACTCAGCTAATGTTTAGATGCACAACTGTTATATTCTGATCTGTTATAAACTTGGCTAATGTTTAGATGCACAGCTGTTATATTCTATCCTGTTGCTATAAACTCAGCTAATGTTTAGATGCACAACTGTTATATTCTATCCTGTTGCTATAAGCTAGCTAATGTTTAGATGCACAACTGTTATATTCTATCCTGTTGCTATAAGCTCAGCTAATATTTAGATGCACAATTGTTATATTCTATCCTGTTGCTATAAACTCAGCTAATGTTTAGATGCACAATTGTTATATTTTGATCTGTTGTTATAAACTCGGCTAATGTTTAGATGCACAACTGTTATATTCTGATCTGTTGCTATAAACTCAGCTAATGTTTAGATGCACAACTGTTATATTCTGATCTGTAGCTATAAACTCACCTAATGTTTGGATACACAATTGTTATATTCTGATCTGTTGCTATAAACTTAGCTAATGTTTAGATACACAACTGTTACATAATGATCTGTTGTTATAAACTCAGCTAATGTTTAGATACACAACTGTTATATTCTGATCAGTTGCTATAAACTCATCTAATGTTTAGATACACAATTGTTTCATTCTGATCTGTTGCTATAAACTTAGCTAATGTTTACATGCACAACTGTTACATTATGATCTGTTGTTATAAACTCAGCTAATGTTTAGATACACAGCTGTTATATACATTCTGATCAGTTGCTATAAGCTCTACTACTGGTTAGATGCACAACTGTTATATTCTGGTATGTTGCTATAAACTCAGCTAATGCTTAGACTAAATAGTTAAACTATGTTAACTAATATTAGAATCAGAATTGTTGTAAAATTGAGTATCTTTTAATCTTTGAATTGTCATAATCTGATCTGTTGCTATAAACTCAACCAACTTTTAAAATCTCATTACTTCTACATTTTAGCTATTGTTATGGTTTTAGCTTAAGAATATACTTTCACAAGACTGGGATATTCTGATATGCTTTTATAAGCTTAACTAATGTTTATACTTTCAAATCTGTTATATTATGATCTGTTGTTGTAAATACTTCATTAACACACCCATTTGTTTAGCCCTACTATTTCACACGCACAATTTCCAACTGTGAAAAAAAGTCTAAAAGAGCACTGGAACATTTATTTTTGTTCAAAATTTCAAGTGTGTTTTTACATTATGTGAAAATTTTTCTGAAACTTCTATGATTAACAGTAATAATTCTTTGTAATTTGTCTTGTTAGTCCTAAACTTATGGAAATGAAACTTCAAATTGCGTTACTCATTTAGTTGAGTATAGTTTACATGTATTTTTACATTGGTTTTGTATATATCTTTGTGTGTGAATGTGTGTATATATATTATATATTAAACTGTTTTGGTATGTTACATTGTTAATGTAAACTATGATATCTTTATTAGTTCATGTGGGGTATTCAAATGCTGGCCAGTAAAATGCTAATGACTAAATGTTAACCATAAAATACATAAATGAATATATTTGAAGTGAAGTGCTTTGATACCAAATGCATTCCAAAACGTACCTCGCCTCGCACTACAGCCATTACTCGACTGCCAGGGTTTCATACTTTGCCCATCTAAGCATTGATCTGAATTTTTCTTGTTTGCTCAGTCTTTTATTCCACACTTAATTGCCCTTAGTGATATCTGTCATGTGACACTCTCCACCTATGTCAATGCACCCTCTATTTTGATACTGTATATAAGCACCTCTTTAAATATTATCACTTTTTCTCGATAAAAGCTTTTGCTGTACAACGATTATTGGAGATAATTTGAGTATTCTTCGTGTTACCTAGTTGATTTTGGTAGAAAAAAAATTTGTTTTGCATTCCAATGCATGTCATGAATTCCTAGATTATTATTTCTGGCATGGAGATAAATCATGTCTCTCCTGTCCCACCTCTGATATCTAGCATGACAATTGTGTGTGTGGTGGGGGGGTGGGGGGTACTCTTAGTTCTGCCCCTGTTCAAGGGTCCCGACCCCCAATATCAGTTCTTTGGTTTATTTGTATCCAGAATAGATTCTGTCCATATCCAAGGGTTCCCCCACTTGATCAGAATGCCACCAATGGCATCTGTGACTATTGTATGCCTTTGGGGTCTGTGGGGCTCGGCTCTGAGAATTCCTGGACGTGTTGTAAAACTTAACCATGGATCCATGGACACTACAGGTCTTTGAATCGTGATTAGTCATTCAGTTCACATCTTCACCACCATTATCCACCCAACCTGTAATGTTTCTGCCTCCTGCAGATCATTGGATTTCAGAACTTCATTCTAGAGCTATCAGAGTTTTGTTGGTCTGAGGACAGGGAGGGGAGAGTGTTTTACCAGTTCTTTTGGGATTTTATTCCCATCTGGTTATTGGGTCCTATAAGACTGGAGATTGGCTCCCGGTCATCAATCTTTCTTCTCTATATCAGTTTTCTAGATCCTACAAGGTTCACAAGTGAGTCATTCCTCACTTAAAGTCAGCATTTTTTTACTAGGATTGTGGATGTCCAAGCTAGATGTCACAGACTCCTATCTGCACTTTTCCATAGTGGTAGCATCCCACCACTATATGCAATTCATGGACTACTGGTTACACCATCATGTCAATTGGCAGAAGTCACACACGGATTCTACTTTCAGAAACAACCAAGGCAGGCTTCATTATCAGAGCTGAGTCATCTATTCTCACTCCAACACAGTATATTGTCAGTATGGATATTTTTCATCATGTATCTTAGTCAGGCTCAGCTGATTCCCATCCAGTTCCAAGCTATGGAACAGGAAGTCTGACACTTTCTCACCTCTTCTTATCCCACAGTGTGGATGGTTCATTCTCTTTTGGGAATGTTGGCTTCACTCAAATCCCTCATTCCTTTTGGACAAGCACATAAGAGATCTCTTCATTGATCTTTATAGGACCAATGGATCATGAACAGCAGTTCACTGGATTCCCCAGTTTCCTTATTCAGGATCATTCTCTTCGATTTCAAGGAGTGGTTAGATTGGAACAGTACTAAGATATGGGTTTCTCTGCTGTCACCTAGTCCAGAGATCCATATCTTCATGGATGCCTCGCCTCAGGGATGGGGTGCATATATCAATGGTCAGGAATTCCAGAGTCAATGCACGGATGAGGAGACTTTCCTACACAGTGTTTTAGACCTTCTTGCTGTTTAAAAGGTGATCTCATGGTCTTGGCTTATTAAGTCCCAAATCATCAGGCTTCACACCAACAATCCCACGATGGTGTCTTGCATTTCCCGTCAAGGGGCACTTAGTCCAGGGTTATTTGTTTTCATACCTTGGACCTTCTTTCTCGGGATCACTCCTATAATATCACCCTACTAGCTTGCCATGTTCCACAGGTGATTATTTGGGTAGCAGATCAATTATCTTAACCAAAACAGATTCTCCTGACAGAATAGATGCTTCATCGTGAGGTTTTTCTGTTGGATTGTCTCTCATATTGAAACACCCAACTTCTGGCTAGTTGGTCTCCACCACCTCACCTTCAGACTTTGGCAATAGATGCATTCTGTCAGGGTGGGATGAAATTACAACTCTAGGCCTTCCCACCAATTTGTATGTTACCCAAGATACTAGCTACGATTTGTTCCAACCCACTGTTGGGTCCTGTTGATAACACCAGATTGGCAGCTGAACCCTGGTTTGTGCTTCTGTGGTACCTTCAGGAGTGCCCACCTCTTCCATTTCAT